AGTTAAGATGTTAGTTTAATCTCTTAAGAAGAGATTGATCTAACAAATCTCAACTCACTGTTCCACCAYAGTACATGATCTATGAATTTAAAACATTAACCTTTTACACTTCAGTATGCATCCCAGGAAAGGCAGGTGCTTACAGAAGTGTAGACAACAGATAYGAGAGGCGGGTGTGCACATTCCTAAAATAACACCCATTTTAAAAGGATACTTAACGTGCCATGTGARATGACTCTTTTGCAAAGGCTCATTTAAAGACACCGTCCTCTTTCAGAAAAGGAAAGAAGTATTGTGAAGCACCTCCAGTTCTGTCAAACTCTTTTTCAGAACAACTTGTTGAATGACTTGTTTTCTTGTGTCTACATATCTCACTTCTTTAACARGTAATGACTGAAGCATGAATGTAGTTGATAGTTTATGGAACTACCTAAAGATACAGCAGCTGGAATAACCAGGGCAGGAGTAGGGGAAAAGCTTGAAAAAGTCATTTATCAAAAGTCATTTTATTGACAAAATAGAATACTCATATTTGCTCTTACAGGGGTAGCCTCTAAACTTTTTTACAAAAAAATTTACAGACTGTATAGCTTTGGATATATACATATTTTACACATCTGTACAAGGTAACAAATAATTATATAAATACATCCTTTAATGTAGGAAACCCGTATTTAGCTGGGGTGTATAATTAAGACATGTTTTGATTCAGTCTATATTGTAAGGCATTTGCCTGGTCATCAACATCCCAAAAACCTGCAGTCCCCAGCAAACTCGCACCTCAGGATGGGGGGGAGGAAGACCCTCCCTCCCACGAGTGAAGAGCTGCTGTTAGTCCAGAGTGACTCAGAAGCTGCTGTGCCTTGCCCTCTGCAAGACACGGGTGAGCCGCTACCCTCCTCTGCCAGCAAAATAATAAGCTGGCTCCTTGAAGTACATTGCTCCCTGCATATGAATGGAGGGGAAGGAGGAGGGGGCTGGAGCCTGGGGCCTCTGCCAGCTGCATTGTTCTATACAAGCTGTGGCTAATAAGGACCATTAGGGGTTCATTAATGGCACCAAACAGTGAGGGGGCATTTTAGGCAGGCCAGTGTCCCTCATTCCCTAACCTTTGGCCTCTTTCCCCCTCCTCACACTTGAGACAGGGGCATCTGCTTGGGATAGGAGACAGAGCTGGCGGTGCCTGATCTCCACGTCAGGCCGGTGCTGACATCGCTGTAGAGGGAGCCACCACCTCCGGCCCCAAGTCCTGCCGCGGTGATTGCTGCCTGTCCACCTGCTCCTGCCCCTGTGCTCCCGGCCACCGCAGCACCTTTGCTGGCCCAGCAGCAGCGAGTGCAGAGGGCCCTCCAGGACTCCAGAGTCTTGCCAGACCAGACCCAGACACCAGASGTGATGCCCACCACCAGGCACATGAAGTACTTGAGCATGAAGACRGCATAGTCAGGGCGGCGGGCCTGGTCCGGCTGCTGGTCACGCAGGCAGGGGCAGTTGTGCGTGGCCTCCCAGCGYGGCCGGTTGTGCTGCTCGTAGAAGAGGCAGGCCACAACGCTGGCAGCTGGCACGGTGTAGAGCACAGTGAAGAGTCCCAGGCGTATCATCAGCTTCTCCAGCTTGTGGGTCTTGGTGGGGCCACCCTGCTGCTTGATGACGCTGCGGATACGGAAGAGCGAGACGAAGCCGGCGAGCAGGAACATGGAGCCGATGGCCAAGTAGATGAGCAGAGGTGCCAGCACGAAGCCCCGCAAGTTCTCCAGGCTCTGGTTGCCCACGTAGCAGATGCCTGCCACGGGGTCCCCGTCCACAGAACTGAGTGCCAGCACAGCGATGGACTTGACGCTGGGCAGGAGCCAGGCGGCCAGGTGGAAATACTGCGCGTAGCCKGCGATGGCCTCGTTGCCCCAYTTCATGCCGGCGGCCARGAACCAGGTGAGRGAGAGGATGACCCACCAGATGGAGCTGGCCATGCCGAAGAAGTAGACGAGGAGGAAGACCACGGTGCACAATGCCGGGCCGGTGCTCTCGTACCGCACGTGCTCGGCCACCGCCAGCTCCGGCTGC